ATCTTCGTTTATTTCATGGTTTTTTATTAGGGATCAAAACAATATCATTTTGCCACTCTCCGCTTCTAATTTGTTAAACACCAATTTTTACAATTTGCCCGAATAATTAAAGTTTTTACATGACAACTCTGCAAACATATGTGTTTTTTTGCAATCGTCTTGGACTTGTAAACTTCAATTGTTGTCATTTTAAATTGAGAAAAAATGTAATCCGCCAATTTTCGATATGCTTGCCAAAGATTTTTAAAAAAGAATCAACCTGTTTGAAGAAAGAGTAGAGTGCTGCTTTCCTAACGTTGGATTTTTTACTTGTTAAGTTACAGCTTTCCGATCAAGGAATTATTTTGTTGATCATTTTCATATATTTCAACCTGCTGTGAAACCTGGAGACCACCTAAGTTGGATTTCATTTAGTTTGGATATCTTTGGCACCCTCGAATATGAAAAACCGTTGGCCTCGAGCATGAAGTGGTTTGAAAGCGTAACGAATAAAAATAGGTATAAATACTGGGATCCACAAAAGGGAACAATATTTTACTCAAATTGCCGTCTCAATTCAAGAAGAAAACGGGAAAAGTTTTAACATCTGAATGCAGCAACAAAATATTGTGTTTTTTATTGACATTAAATCCTACGGAGGAAAATAAAGTAAAAGTGTTAAGTGCCAATTTCAATTGATTGGCGGTTAGTACCAGCTTAAACTTTGCGCAATCTTTTGGTACCTGTCTAAACCCCCAATACGAAAGCTCGCAACAACGTACTAAAATTCCCAACGCTTAGGCCGAGCAGCACAGAGCGGGAGGGGTAAAAGATCCTCTTATGTGTCGCGGAACCGAAATATATTGGAGGCCGTCCAATTCGGCGGAAGTTATTAATCCGACGTAACCGATCAAGCACTTTCTACCAGAAATATAGATCTGGACCTAGCCCTATTTTGTTGTTTTACAAAGTGCCGAGGAGTTCCCAGAGGTGAAGCCGGCGGCAACGACTGTCGTTTGTATCCGTCAACGTAACCGCGGATTCCTAGTTTATTTTATAGTGTCATTAGTTTAAATTAGCTTAGTACATTTTTTTAGTTTTTTTTTTTAAATTATTTTCGGAAGAAATAGCAAGTGAAACGTGTGACAGGGCAGAGGAACCGCAAAAGAGGGCGTGAGTTTTTTTTTTTGTTGTACAATTTTGTTCTCCAGTTTTCGTTATAGGAACGTCGCCGCAGTCCATGGAAGCGATTTCATCGCTGTTTCAAGGCGTTTATTAAAACCAATCAAAGAAATGGCGTAAGTGATCCGAAAAAAAAAAAATTGAAAAATATTGGAGTTTGGTAGTTTTTAGCCACGATTTATTGCATAACCAAAAAAGATACCTCACGTAGGCAAGAGCTTCCGCGCTTAAGAGAGGCTGTACGCTCTCCCTTATGCCCTTCTGGCATATCTTAAGACTCTTTTCTGCTTTCCCATCTACTTGCGAGCGTTTGCTTTAGCTAATGCAATTGAATAACTGACCTGCCATAACGATCGCTGCGCACAGTTTTACATTTACTGGCTAGCCTTTCTCTTGCATATTTATTTATCTATTTACCTAATATAAAACTTATATATATACTGCCCTTCTTTCAATTTGAAATTTCAATCTAAATTTTAGCATTAAGAGCTAATATTTTATTAGTTTACTATTTGCGATGCGTGGTTCTAAGTTGCAATATTAAATATAGTATTTAACATGAATTGGTGCTAGAGTTCTATATGCTGGGCAAAGGAGTTGAATAGTTGGTTGGATAGGAGGCTGCAAAAGCCTTCTTTAAGGGATCACCGGATGAACCGGGAGCGGTGATCAAGGTACATAGGCATAAATGGTCACAACAACACCGTGCCACGAATCGTATGTGTGTATGTGACCGTGTGCGTGGTTAGGTGTATTTGCTCATGTTCGTATTTGTGTCCGATACTTCTCTTGCACGTGAATCCGTACCAAAGGCCAAAGGCCAGAAATAAAAAAATATGACAACGTATTTTTATTTTTGTAAATAATTAAAGACTAATTTGTGTGTTAGACCTTTTAAAATTAATGTTTTATGTAACCTTTGTTTTTATTTCTTTTTTGTGCTTGATTTTTATGTTTACTTAAAGTTTTAGTTGTGTTCCCCCTTAATTCCCACATAGATTTTATATTCATTGTATTAATCTATAAGTCTTTACTTAATAAAAGTGTTTAAGTCAGCTGCAGAAACTTGCAGATGTGTGTGAAATATTCAATAGTCTAACACTTCTTATTTTTTCAAGGTTGAACTTGTCCAGCAGAGCCACCGTGTTTGTTTTGTGTACTGTGTGTTTCTATTATGAATATCTACTGAATTGAATGCCCTTATTTAAACTATTGAATACATTTGCAAAAAAAATTTTTGTATTTTGGAAGCGTAACAAATGTAAGAAATCTTCCGTTTTACAATATGAATGTGATTGGCTGAGTACAAAGGAATAAATTTGATTGAAATGTGCCCTAAATGTATTCCAGAAAAAGGCGGAAAGTGCTCCAAGTGGCCGTGAAAAACATAATTTTATGGAGTCTTCAACGAGAACAAAGGGACGGCGTATAGCTCAGCTGGTCCAAATTGATAAGTCCGCTGTTTCTACATTACGCAACAAAAATCAAAGCCAAAATGTGTTGCCAGCGGATCCCATTGAAGTAATTTCTCTTTTAAGGGAGACCGGAATGACCAAACAATAATATTTTGGGTAGGAAATTTTGTGAACAGCAAAATATCATTTGGTTTTCTTCCAAGCTTCCAAAGTTTATTAGATAACACAGCCTCGAGCATATTAGAGCTTCAATCCAATGTTGTTGAAACCATAGCATATGATTCTATTGCACATCTCTTATTAATTGGAAAATGGGGTTTGGATGGAAGTACGGGCCATTGCGAATAAAAGCAAAGTTTCTCTAATAATGATTTAGACGACAAAAGTTTATTCGTTACATCATACGTACCCCTCCAACTTATTTCAAAAACTGATCAAAAAATCATTTGGCCTTCGTCAACGCGTTATTGCATACCAGTTCGATTCCAGTTTAAACGAGGGGGAACGTTGTGAGTTGCTGCTGCGACTGCGACTCTACATTTATACCCGATACTTAGTCAGTATAGCTCTCCTCCGGCAGGCGTTGCTAATATTAAACGACACGACAACGAGTGCGTGCGAGAGAGACAGAAAATCAGTCTGAGCGTGACGTCGGGCGCTGCGTAGCCACTGCAAATTGATTTGTTCCTTTTGGCTATAAAAATTATCTGATCTGATCCAGATTCAGCAATCTAATAGATATGGTCATTATCTATGATTCTGCGTTTTTAGTTTTCTCAAATCTGCAATATTGTGGATGCAACAGATTTTCGTCCTTTGTGGGGGCGGAAGGGGGTGGGGCGAAATTTTGAGATATACGTTTTATAGTGACATCTTAAAGGAGTTTGTGTACCAAATTTGGTTACTCTAGCCTTAATAGTCTCTGAGATTTGTGGATGCCTCAGATTTTCGTCCTTTGCGGGGGCGGAAGGGGTTGTGGCGAAAGCTTGACATAAAACGGTCAAGGTCCGATATCACAGGAGTGTGGATACCAAATTTGGTTGCTAGCTAGCTCTTATGGGTTCTGAGATCCTTGAACTCATATTTTGCAATTGGCCATGAAACCGACCATGAAACCTGTGTGTTAGAGTGAGACAGAGCGAGAAAGAGTGAAATTGTTTTCGTGATTCTGGCTGTAATAATTATACGATCTGGTTCAGATTTTGCACTCTAGAAGATATAGTCATCTTCTACGATTCTGCGTTTTCTGTTTTCTCGAATCTTTGAAATTGTGGGTGCCACAGATTTTCGCCCTTTGTGGGGGGGGAAGTAGGCGGGGAGAAGTTTTGAAATATACTTGTAACAATGACATATCACAGAAGTCTGGATATAAAATGTCGTTGCTCTAGCTCTTATAGTCCTTGAGCACTAGGCGCTTATAAGGACGGACAGACAGACATGGCTGAATCGACTCGACTAAAGTGTCTTGTCTAAAGTGGCTATGTATTCCTACGTTGTTTCTAGATTTATCTATTTAAAGCCGATGAAGAAATAAGTTTATAGCATTATAGATTTTTTTGAAATAACCATATTACTGCCATAAATTGCCTTCCATAATTTTATAGACCTGAAGATAAGAGAATAATTCATTTTCCCTTGGTACTTTTCATGGTCAGAATCGTCTAGATGATGATTAGTTTTCATACAAATAGACGGAACGTCGATAGAACCAAAGACTATACAATACCAAGATGTTTTCAATTTTCGTTTGACGCTTCATGGTACGGGCGCGCGGGGCTATTACTTCAATTCTCTTTTACGCTACCTTCGCCTCCGAAATGCTACTCGGCTTCGTCAATGCCTCGGTCAGCGTCGAGTCGGTGTGTCTCGAGAGAAAGAATACAAAAACAAAATATGAATCGTCTGCGTGCCGAAACCATAGGGCAGCGTGGTCGCTGATGTCTTTGGCGCGGCACAGTGGGGACTCAGCCGAAATAGTAAAAAAATTGTATGAGTGCTTTAGATAAATTTAATGTACGCATCTAATAGAGAATTTTCCAATCGAATTTTCCCACTGTGCCGCTCCAAAGCATCGGCGATCCGCGACCACCGCTTCGACGGTGCTGAGGCTCGAGAGTCCAGAATTGCTGAACGAAACCGATGGGCAGCGGGGTCGCGGTAGAGACAAAGTACAGGCGAAAAGGGAATTGAAACCCCGCCCGCTCCCTCGTGCCTTTTGGGTTCTAATGTTAGGACCCGCCATAGAACAGCTTTTTGGTCGCTCATGCAACATCTTGGTATTGTATAGTCTTTGATAGAACGTATTAGTTTTCGGTTCTAATTAAGATAGTACAAATAATTTTACCTTGTGAAAGGGTAAAAAATATCAGTTGTAAATTTGAATGTATTGTTTATTAGTATTAGTAATTAGTAAAAATATATTACCTGTAAATCCACTATCCTCACCGCCTGATGCTTCGCGAGAACATCGACTATCTTCTTTGACGCGCTCGCCACTTAGCTCACTGTCGCTATTCAAACTGTCATACTCTTCTGACTCAGACTTTATTACATTTGAACGACGCTTTTGTCTCTTTTCAGTATTCAAGTGCTTATATTCATCACAACCTTCGATGTTTGCGTTAGTGTTGGTGCCGCTTACACTGGTTGAAGCTGATCTTTTAACTTTTGTCCCAGAGCTGCATAAGGTACTATCAACTGCTAATCGAGAGTCATAATTCACTGATTTTCCTGTATGACTTATTGGGATGTTCCCCGATTGGTTTTCATGCTCTGGTAAATGAAATGTTGCGTAAGGGTATATATCTTCTGAGTATTCTGGTATGCGCTCGAGTCCGATAACAGATTCAGGGGGAGATTGTTGGCAAGATTTTCGTACCGTACCATAAAAGTGTTCTCGGGGTTGAACAACCTTGCCTCCTGTGCCTCTAGGGGACCTCAGTGAAATCTCGTTACTAGCAAATCCATTGCGAGGATCTAAAAAAATGTATTAAGTAAGTATTTATCTGGTGAATTGATTAAACATAACACTACGAACAATTTTTAAAGCATATTAAAGCTCCAATCAATGCGAGAATAGTTCCAAAAATGGATGACACAATTACAGCTAAAAGATGAGCATCGGTGAATACTGTCTGGACGCTGGGCAGCTCTACACGACCCAATTCATTTTTAATCTCTACAAAGTCTAATGTTTTAAAATAAAACTCCTTGTGAGTGGACCCGGCATTGTTGTGGGCAGTCATTCGTAAGTTATATGCAGTTCCGGGGTCTAAGTCACCTATATTGTATCTTGCCTAATGGTAGAAAATTCAATTTAATTTTATCATCATAAAAATTTGTGTTTTATACATACATTTGTTTCAATTTTGTTAGAAACTATTATCCATTCAGTAGAAGACTCATGCAGCTTGAATTCTATACTGAAATACAGTATGGGGCACCCCCCATCTTGCCACGAAGATAAATCCAATGTAATCGATGTTGTATTCAAACGAATAAAACTCTGAGTCGGCGGCGCAGACGGTTTATCACCTGTTAAAGAAAGCATTAAAATAAACTAACTAATTTTATCCGAATCGTACCTTTAGTTTTTACTGATTCCACTTCGCTAGAAGGACTCGTGCCAATTGTATTATATGTGTTGATTGTGAATTGATATCTAGTTCCGCATTGAAGGTTCTCTAATACATAGGAGTTAATACGGCGATCCAATTGTAGTTCCTCCCACTCGGCCGGCTCGCGTCTGAAAGTTAATGTGAAACCTTTTAACGGCGCACCACCAATGTCTTCTACTCTCCATTGTAAAGATACTGAGTTTTTGTGAACCGAATTTACGGAGACTATTGGAGCTGAAGGCGGCACTATTAAAGATTTAAAAATAGTTTTTAATATTATGTTAATAGTGATTATTGGACACATTTACCTTGTACAAATAGCTGATATGTAATATGGTCAGAACCAATCGGGTTTCTCACAACACAGGAGTAATTTCCTTCGTTGGGCCGTTGAATGTTCCGGAGACTCAATGTATTGTCATTGTTTACTTCCATGCGGATATGTTTTTTTAAACGAGTGTTTAAAACCTTCCACTCTGCCGTCGCTTTTGGGTTACCAACAAAAACGCATGTCAATTTAATATCGGCTCTCCAACTAACACTCAGTGTCTGACTAAATGAAATTATAGCTGCTGGTACTAGTGTATTGGGTACGAGTTTAATAACTGGTGTGCTGGGACCTTGGCCCACTCTCGTGGATGCTGTCACCCAAGCCTCATATACTTCTCTCATATTTAAGTCTTTAGCTTCGAAATGGCGATTATGAGCTGGAAGAACTTCCTTTAGAATTTTTAATTCCTGTCCCTTTTCAAGTACTCTTATGAATACATTATATTTAGTTATCAACCCATTAGGACGTCGTGGTGGAAGCCAGCTAATAATTACTGACGATTCAGTACTCACAATCGATTTTACACGTTCTGGTGCATCAGGAACTGCCTCCTCAGTAGTACACGATACAGCAGGACTTAAATTACCTTCACCAGCACGAGTAAAAGCCAAAACCTGAACGCTGTAATTTGTAAAAGGATGGAGGCCATGAAGTACAGTGCTCTGAGCTGATGTAATCTTAGTTTCTCGTCCGTTGTACTCGTTTTCGAAATATACTGGTTCATAGAATATCTTGTATCCTTGAATAATTCCATGGCATAATTCCTTGGGTGGCGACTGCCAAGATATTTGAATATTTTGTGCAGTTAGAGCAATACATGATACGGATTGCGGGCTTGCCGAAGGGGCGTCTTCTAAGGTATGACCTAATGCCACTTCGCTTGGGGGCCCATCACCCTTCACATTATAGGCTGATATAGTGATTGCATATTGCGTATACTTTTCCAATTCGATTAAGCGGAAGTCATTTATACCTTCTGTTCTTAAGCTACTAACTTTCGTATTATTTTTTACCCTATTTGGGGAGTTATGTTTTTGATATGTAATGGTGTAACCTAACAACTCTCCATTCCAGGTATCCCGCACAGGTGCCCGCCAAGTTATCAATAGCTGAAATTAATTAAGAAGAAAAAAAGGCCATTTTAATATTCAATGATAACCATTCCGAACACAAAAGAGCTTCTGACAATCAGAAAATAAATGACCTTTTCCTGATAAGAGAATTTTGAATATTAGCTTGACTTGCTTTAGGGTGTGCACTTGAACCTTGCTTGAGTAAATTACCTGTTGCGCTCCCAAAGGTTCTGCAGTTACATCTTGGGGAGGTGCAGATGGTACTTCCGAGTCCGTTTGAAAGAATAAAACATCACTTGGAGCACTGGTACCTAAATGATTTTCTGCATATAGGCGAATGTGATATGACTGTGCTGGCTTAAGTGATCCTAATTGTGCAGTAGTTCTATCCCCAGGTATAAGTTTTTGGTTATTTTGTTCATGCCAAACATCTAAATAATGGGAATAGAAGAATATGCAGTTTAAGAAAGAAGTAAATGCGCTGTAATTAACGTGCCCACCATAAAATACCCGCTATTTGATTTTATTCTTCTGCTGTAAATAAGACCTAATCTAATTGCTGTATTACAAAAAAAGTTTCTTAAAAAGTTTTGTTTTTATTGCACTTTTTATAAGTGTGCGTTTAGTCCTAGAAACCAAAGTGCATATACAAATATATCCTTTATCTGTTAATATGCAAAAAAATTTTGTATAGCCTAATAGGCTCTGCACACTGAGCCCATCCCGGGGAAATGGTGGGATTTTTTGACAGATGTGAAAGTCGAATTCACTCTGGCACCATCCGCCATCCACCATCCGTCAAAAACAGCTGACTGATCTGAGTACTATGCTTAAATATTGAATAAATGTATTTAATGGTGAACAAATAAATTCACAGAAAGTTGGTGAACCATGACTGCTACCATCGCGATGGTCCAGAAGTCGTTTTTTTTTGGCATAAAGTCTAGTTTTAAAGCTAGAGCCTTGAAACTTTGCACAATTATTTTGAGTATTTTTATAAAATTTCGTTTTTTTTTTGTTTTAGATTCGACCACGCCATCGACCCCCTTCCCCAGAGCACCTCAGATTTGTTTAACACAGAGCTCGAAATTAAAGCTAGAGCTTTTAAATTTTGTACATATACTTGTATACTTGTACTTGTTCTTGTTTTTTTTTTGCATAAAGTCGGAAGTTTAAATTACATACTTCAAATTTATTACATTTTGTTGTTAAATCATTATACATAAAATCTTATTTCAAATTATCTATATTTATATATAAACTTTGGAAATTTATTACACACTAATTTTTTTCTTAAATGACCTCATCTTCTTCTTCTAGTTCTATGTCGTATATATTATAATCAGAATCAGAATCAGATTGCGAGTCATTTTCGTATTCACATGAATCTTTGCTTTCGGTAGATGGCAACTCCAGAAGGCTTAATACTTCTTTGGAAAGAGGCTTTTTCTTGTTTTTCCTTTCCCTCTCCTTTAAACAGACACTCGATAGTAATGGATCCGAGGAATCTATCGCTCTATAAAAAATGTCAGTCATAGTATTTACCCGACTATTTTTTCTTGCATGTGATAATCTGTCTTTTTTGTACATTTTATTCCGTGCCTCTGAAGCATTTTCTCCTAAACATCCAAGTGGAACCAACGTCGAATTGTTTATTTGAAAACCGTGGACTAATACTTTATGAATCGTAGGAGACATTGGGTACCACGGATATGTTTGCATATATAAGCAAAAAGTACTCTCACAAAAAGAACGAAATTTTTCCGAATTTATATAATAGTTACACGAAATTGCGATTAAGATTTTCTTTGGTGTCTTTCAATTTTCATCAACAATAATTGTTATTTTAGAAGCCATTTAGCATGGGTGGTCATAAACCGTTCCATCATTTTGTTGCACTTCAGAAGGTTTCTTTTAATGAAGGATTCAAAATTACTGATTTTTTTATCTATTTCTCTTTTTTTTCATTTTCCAAATGGTTGTTATTGATTTTACTGTAAATCCAATGTGAGACAGATTTTTTTTGTCGATTGTTGTTGCGCCAAATATCGATGAGATCGCTATGCAAAAACTCGAACTTTCCTGAATATTAACAAATTTAAAGAAAAGGGGCCAAAACGGGCCAAAGTTGTTACTTTCCAGTCAATTGCAACATTTGTAGGTACAAACTCACATAGTTAGTTTTTCTCAGCAGAACTCAGTTCATTTGTTATATTCTACGAAACACAGGGGACGCAGTTAAATTTTCTACAAAAATACACATAAATTGGCCATTGCACAACACTTAAATCTTGAGACTACACATAAAATAACTAAATACATTAGATACTACATACCTTTATCTTCATTTTCCATTTTTAGCCGAATTTATTTGAGCAAATTTACTCGATCGCCACGTAAAAATGTAAACAAGTAATTTGGCGCCAATTTTTTTCCCACAATCAGTTGATCGATTGTTCACTTTCAAAAGCTCGCCAAAATCTTCAGGGAAGCTAAATAATTTTTTTTTTTTCATTTTTAATATGTATGATGAATTAACTTTGAGAATTTGCAAGAAAAAACGTAATCCATTCACATAAAAATTTCGACTTTATGCCAAAAAAAACGAATTCTGGACCATAGTGCATCGGCAGGCACGGGGAAGAGCAGTACTCTCTCTGGTCCCCAGTTCTCACACCTCTAATGTGGCGGAATCTGACCATGTCATCGATCGGAGTAATGAAAACTAGTCCACGCGGATTCACACGGATGGATAAAGACACCGATCCTCCAGATCATTAAGGAGGCAGAGGGACATGGGTGGCGTCTACCTGTGACTCAAAAGGGGTGCCCATGGGATAAAGACTAATGACAAAATGACTAATGACCAAAATGTTTGAGGATGTTTTAACTCCGCACTTGCAACATATCTACAAGTCACTTATATCTCCAACTCAACATGGATTTATAAGGCGGCGATCAACAACCGCGAGCTTTCTAGAGTTTACCTCTTTCATTATTAAAGGCTTTCGAGTTAACTTACAGACGGATGTTATTTACACCGACTTTAGTAAAGCATTCGACTCTGAAAACCATTCCGTTTTAGTGCATAAACATGACCTTTTAGGGTTTCCGCGCAACCTCCTGAGATGGATTTCTAGCTAAATTTGTTCGAGGTCTCAAAGAGTCCTCTTCAAAACTCCCTCTCTTCACCAGTCAAGGTTGCAGCCATCTAGGCCCATTACTCTTCACACTCTTTATTAATGACTTTCCTTCGGTATTAACATACTCTCGAATACTTCTGTATGCGGATGATGGTAAACTCTGTGTCCAGTATAAGGATAATTCATTTCATTCTCTCTTGAGAATCATGTGCAAACTTGTTACACCTTAATGCATCAAAAAGCAAAGTAAAGACATTTCATCGTTCTTGCTCCTCGTGGCTACCTATACCCTATTTGGTGGTTCTCTTGAGAGAATTACACTGATGGATGAACTTGGCTATGGGCGTGGTTGGGTTTATAAAGAGGTGGCCAAAGGAATTTGTGTATGGTGACCTCAGTACACAGCACACCAGGACCGTATAGAATCAGTCCAGAAAAACTTTTTAATCTTTGCTCTGCGGGGCCTTGACTGGAATGAGGGTGTGAGACTCCCATCTTACTCTAGTAGACTGCTATTAGTAAACCTCCCATCCTTAGTTAACCGTAGAAAAATTCTTGGTGTGATTGTTATGCACAACTTGATCAGGAGTGATCAATTTGGTATTTGTATTTTGAATGCATGCAGTTCGAATATTAGTCTTAAAGCTATCTTTCCTGCATGCTCGCGTATAAGCCTTCTGCTGGTTGCAGACGGGCCACTTGATGCTGCAGTAATTGCATCGCCTCTTGAAAGATGCAGCCATGGCATGTAAAAATAAATTTCGCAAGTTTTAGAACAAAAATGTTGCTATTAAACTATGACAATTTTTTCTGTCTGATGTATTCCAATTAATTAATATTTAAGAAATGCTTCTGTTTTAAAACTTCGAATATTTTGTTTGTTAAAGTGTCCTGTTCAAGTGTGACAAAATTATGAACAGGGTCTGATAGATAGTGGAATACCCGATTAAAGTGGTAAAATTAGTGTTCAGTTATGGTTAAATCCTCCTTTAATTGCAATACTTTGAAGGCAGAAGGAAATATTGCGGACAGGGTTGATCATAGATCATAGACATCTCGTGTCTTAATCTCGCGCCTTTCTTTTTTTCGCTTTCGCTCTCGCGATCTGTCTATCTTTTAAATGTCTATACAAACACTTACATAACTCGAGCTCTCGTTATCTCGCTACATAATTTCGCTATACTTTCGTCGGTGCATCGCATAATACATACTTATACATAAAAGTACTTATATTTATCAGAAACAACTTGAGTTTTTAATAAATATATTGCAAAGTACCATATTAAACGAGGGGGAACGTTGTGAGTTGCTGCGGACACCGCAACTCTACAGTTATACCCGATACTAAGTCAGTATGGCTCTCCTCCGGCACACGCCGCTAATATTAAACGACACGACAAAGAATGCGTGCGAGAGAGACAGAAAATCAGTCTGAGCGTGACGTCGGGCGCTGCGTAGCCAGTGCAAATTGATTTGTTCCTTTTGGCTATAAAAATGATCTGATCTGATCCAGATTCAGCAATCTGATAGATATGGTCATTATCTATGATTCTGCGTTTTTAGTTTTCTCGAATCTGCAATATTGTGGATGCAACAGATTTTCGTCTTTGTGGGGGCGGAAGGGGGTGGGGCGAAATTTTGAGATATACGTTTTATAGTGACATCTTAAAGGAGTGTGTGTACCAAATTTGGTTACTCTAGCCTTAATAGTCTCTGAGATTTGTGGATGCCTCAGATTTTCGTCCTTTGCGGGGGCGGAAGGGGTTGTGGCGAAAGCTTGACATAAAACGGTCAAGGTCCGATATCACAGGAGTGTGGATACCAAATTTGGTTGCTAGCTAGCTCTTATGGGATCTGAGATCCTTGAACTCATATTTTGCAATTGGCAAAACCGACCATGAAACCTGTGTGTTAGAGAGAGACAGAGCGAGAAAGAATGAAATTGTTTTCGTGATTCTGGCTATAATAATTATACGATCTGCTTCAGATTTTGCACTCTAGAAGATACAGTCATCGACGATTTTTAGTTTTTAGTTTTTAGTTTTCTCGTATCGTCGAAATTGTGGATGCCACAGATTTTCGCTCTTTGTGGGGGCGGAAGTGGGCGGGGCAAAGTTTTGAAATATTCTTGTAGCAGTGACATATCACAGAAGTCTGGATCCAAAACATCGTTGCTCTAGCTCTTATAGTCTTTGAGCACTAGGCGCTGAAGGGGACGGACAGACGGACAGACAGACATGGCTCAATCGACTCGGCTATTGATTCTGATCAAGAATATATATACTTTATAGGGTCGGAAACGATTCCTTCTGGACGTTACACACATCCACTTTTACCACAAATCTAATATACCCCAATACTCATTTTGAGTATCGGGTATAAAAAGCTCGGTAGTTCAACAATCTCCTTTTTTATCTTCTTCATGCATATTGCACATGATACTAGGATATACGATTTTGCATCCATCCGTTCCAGATTCAGACAGACAGCTTTCTTTTGGACCTTATGTACATTTTCCCGAGTAAAGTATTCCTCTTGGAATTAATGTAATATTCGGTAATAAAAAGAAAACAGTATTCCTTTCCTTCTTTTATGTGCTAAGCCTATTGTAATAGATAAGTAAAATTGGTAAACTACGATACATACCTCCTGATTTCTTATATTGTAATATGTAATTTGATATTGGTTGAGAGTCTCGATTGTTTCCTCCACCGCCACCTAAAATTACTGAATCCTGATCATTTGGCGACCACGCCAATGTCACAGAACGGCTTCCCAAATCCATAACGTGTAAGTTGACCGGAAAAGTTGGAGGTTCTTGGACCTGCAAATGTACGACAGATCTATCATGACCGTATGCGTTGTTGGCAATGCATGAATATTCTCCTCTATCAGTAAGAGCTGTGTGTAATATTGTCAGTTCAGATAAAACTCCATAAGCTAAAGGCGAGTTTTTGATGTGATATCGTATTTCATAAGCAGGATCAATTTTATTAGCTTTGGCTCTCCAAGACATTTCCAACGGCCGATCTCCAGTTGCTTCACATGCTATCGTTACACGTTCACCGCGTCGTATGGTAAACATTTTTTTAGAAACTGTTACCGAAGGACCCACTGTATAGAAAATCAGTTTTACAATTAAAGTAATATTAGCATATTAAATAAAAAATGTTTCATATCTTACCATGAATGGTCAATTTTATTAAAGTACTTAGTCCAACCCCAATTCCATTGTTTGCCTGACATAAATAGTGGCCCTCGTGCTCTCGTCCGACCTTTGATATAATAAGCGAACCATTGGCGTGAGTCTCTATAACAGAGTGTGAGTTTCCATTGCTAACTCCATAATTCAGTTCGCGATACTCCCCAGAGTCTCCTATATTTAATAATACTCATGTGCTCATAATGTTCTAGACAAACCGCAACTTTCTTACCGATAGATTGCTTCCATTGAACTGTAGGCTCGGGAAACCCATCAGCAGTACATGACATTATTACTAAATTACCAAGTATTGCATCTTGGTCAGTAGGTTTTAAGACCCATCTAGGAGGTACTAAATAAAAATATCTTTATTAGCAAACGTATATAATGGTCCTATTAAATGTATTTTCTTGCACATTTGTCATTTTTACCTATGGTAAGTACATTTATGAATACATACAAATGTTCGAAATTCATGCACAAACAATAAATATACAAAACTATTCAACTTACCATACAATTTGAAACTCAAGTAATAAAGATAGATCAATATACTCGAATAATCAGACTACAAGTGGCTATTGCTTAAATATGTGTAAATTATTATATACATAGCTCGATGTAAGTTACTTTAAAATTGATATTATACTGATATTATATACTTTTTTCAGTTTTTATATAGAACTCAAGAATTATTTTATATGTACAAAAAAATGCTTAATACAATCGAATCAGAACGTTTTAGTCTAGGAAAACATGTTTTATTAGGTCGGAAACGAAATTATGGTTGTTATTTAATTAATTCAGTTATAATTATAGTTTATTATAGTATGTACTCTAAATTTCATTTTATTTTATGCATTTATATACTCGATGAAGACCAGTTATTATCTCAAAATGTAAGAGGACCGATGGAAGTGAGTTAGCCTAATTGCTTGGAGTTCCCAAAGGAAGGATAATTTTTCGACCAATGGTCGTTAACAATATACAAAAATGTATTATCAAACCTATAGTATACAGCCTGTATATTTATTATTCGTCATGCATATTCATGTCAGCGCTTTAAATTATTTTATGTTCTGCACAATAATGCAGGCACGCTGGAAAATTAAGAAATTAAAACTGACCGACCCAGTGAGCTGAGCGTATGGAGTAGAATTACGGCCTATGCCGGGTCTTGGAAATGTTCTCTGAGCTGAAGAATTACAAATACGGAAGTGCCATGTAAATAACCTCCTAGACGATTGGCTCGGTTGCCTGGCAGGATCCGTGAGACCAATTACTATGACAGAGCCTCTATCACGGCCAGAATACCAAGAATACCCAAGATTTCAAATTTACAAGATTTAATATAATAATATTAATAACGATATTAATTCAATAAACAATAATCATTTAAATAAATGTTCTCTCTTATTTTTAGATCGATTTGTATATGTACAATGTGCATATGCTCGTTTAAAGTCTGTAAAAAGTTTCATCGATTTTCAACTAGTGGGTTGAAATCTGTTGACAACTTGTGCATCGGAGTATGCCATTATTATTTCCATGATTATGTCTCCTTGTCCAATTCCTTTCCACCGCGTTATAAACTGCGTCCAGACAGAAAACATTATACCGTATCGGATATTAAAGAATATAAGGACACCAAGACGAAAGATCGAAAGATACTTTACTGTAAAACCTTTAAATTGGTTTAGTTACAAACCAAATTGACAGATGGTAAGACAGCATATATTTATTTACTTTTAAACTATTTGCAGTTTTAATTTGACAATAATAAAAAACCAAGTGGAAAAAATGCGCAATATACGTTTATATGTACTAGAATTGTATTCTTAAAACCTTAGTGCTATAACATTTTACCTTTCGAGTCCGTTTGAGTGTTGGGATGCATGTGCATAGTGCGAAGTGCGAAGTGCTTTTTACCTAATTCAAATAAATATAACCTATGCCTTATTTAAAACTGCCATATTTTACTAAACATAATGTTGTTAAATATTATGTTTTTAACAGAAAAAATCATACTCAAAAAGACCCGTACAGCTTACATAAAAATGCCAATAGACTCTAAAGATAATCTATGCATATTGACCCAATGTCCATAATAATTATGTCTGACCAATAAATAATAATAATAATAGTCAATAATAATGACACATAATGTTTTATTTTTTCATCAAATATACATTAAACTCGAAGTGGAATACAAAAAACCAATTTGGAGCTAATAAGAGATTGATACATATCCTTACTAATTGCGACAGGACATACCTATTTAATGACATACCCATTAAATTAAACAAGTGCTTAAGCTAAAATTTAAGTTTAGTTTATTAGTTGCCCCTAACGACCATTCGTGTAAATGATATTTATGATATAAATAATATCTATGACTTAATGACATACAAGTTGAACCGATCTCAAAACTCAAAGGTTCTACAGAACACAAATACATGTTCTCTCCTTAACGAGTTGTTCAATTCGATTTATGTTGGTGTTACTGACAAAATGAACAGTGACAATGCTAGGGAGAAACTTCAAATAGCGCATTGGAAAATAAATACCTACTGATCAGAATGTAATCAAAATGCGACGTAGTCCTCTGGTTACAGCTTGGTTTTATTGATATGCGATACTCAGTTCGCCCAATACGTTTGATTCACTAAAGTTTTATAAAGTGCAGAAAAAGAACGCAGGTTTTTTGGTTCAAGACGTGAAGTCTGGCTGGAGTCTGGTTAGTCACTGATTTTATTGTACAAATGTATCCCCTCATATAGCTACAAGAGGCTTATGGGAAGGGGCACACAGTATCTCCCTTTTCGGGGATCATTAAATAAAGTGGAGGACCATACATTTGACATTTCATACTTGACCTTCATCCCTTTTATTGGTCGGAGTCTTGTTTTTTAAGTGGTTTATATTTTTATTTAAATGTGTGTTCCTTTTCTGCCCTGACATTAGTGTTAATTGAATCATTTTAAAAATGGCTTAATTAAACCCTTAGCAATTGTATGTATCAATCTTTTCTGAGCGCCCTATAATATTTTCATTATACCTGTATTGAGTTTTATTTTTGAGTGAAAAAATTAAATTTTGATATGTACATACTATGCAGATCTCCGTGGCTTCACTCACAACCAAGTCCACTATAATTCATTCAAATTAAATTTTATTAAGTGAGTGCCAGCTTCATAGAATTCAGAATTCAGTGGTATGAGTTAGAATGAAACAGTGCACAAAAGAAATGAATGAAATGGCATAGCCGTTTATTGACACATTGATTTCGTTTCTTTCTTTATTTTTTTCCTTACGAACAGCAAAAGAACAACAATTAAAAGACATTTTGTTCTTTGAGTATTCCAAAATTCAAGCTCACACACTCAAACTCTAAAATTTGCATTTTATTTCCTTAATTTTCTTAAGTGGCATTATTAATATAGCTTAAAAATAGTTATTACCACCAATAAATATCCCAAGAACTTTATAATAATAACACTGTGCGATAGTGATTTTGTACTTTGCTCTAGACAAAAAGCTTGTTAAGCCCAGGCTGAAAAGATCTTATGACCATACTTACAATTTGCAACATACCCGAAAAAAGAAACATTTAACATGGTAGAAAACGTCAAATTTAGCTTGATATTATTTCAGTATAGCCATTGTATGGTAACGATTAAAAAATTAAATGACAGGCAATACATTTCTGTTATAAACCCATCAATTTGGATATAGGCGAGGAGAATGCCAATTTATGGAAGTGCGCAAATTCACCGAAACGCGGATTTTGGAGTTATTAATTTGTAATTTATATAAGTATGTATTCATGTATGAGACCTACTCTTCCTACAATAAGGAAATGTAGATGATATTTCAATATATTTCAAAAAAATGTGCTAGATAATTCCTATGGTCTTTTTTATTATTTATATGCATATACATATTAGGTGAATTTCTACTGTGGACTTTGTGTACTTTTGTGCAGAGTAAACATTACTTTAATTTAATTTATTTTTATTGTGCTTCTAAGCATCTTAATAGAACGAAATAGTTACGCTTGATTTACCGGATACCGAGAGAACAGCAGTAAATTGTACAGCACCAGCATGGTTGGCTACATTACAAGTGTAGTTACCGTTGTGTCGTGAAGAAACGTTATGTATCGATAATATGCTGGAAAATTGTGCATATTGATTTATGGTTAGTGACGGATCCGAAGAAATAAATGTATTCCTTTTATCTGTGGTATGATCTTTAGGCTCAATTACGTTCTCATCTTTCTTGACAGCTACTGTATTACTAATGATGGGCACATCATTTCTTAGCCATGTGATGTTAAACGGTTGGTCCCCTTGACTACTGGAGCACATAATCTGTGTCCGCATACCTTCAGTTATTTCTTCCTCAAAAGCAAAAGGTGATATACGAGGAGGAACTACGTAAATAATAATATGAACATAGTTTTTGTAAGATAAATATGAATATGATAAGTATTAAGATTATGTTTCGAACAAATACCCCGATTAGAATTGTAAGTCGAGTATTCCGACTATAAGCTACATAATAATCATTTTATTTTAAGATTTCAATATTAGGATTCACAATTATCATGCCAAATTTTGTTCGGCATTTACTCGAAATTTAAAGATAGGAACGCGAATCTTAGCAAGAAAATTAGTAAACATAAAGTTAAATTTTTTATTTTAATTTATGTCTATATTTTTTAATTTTTATTTTGTTGCCGTTGTGTCAGAATAGTATTAAAATTATGATTGATTGTAAATTCAAAGTAAGGGGGTACGCCACTAATCATAGAGTATATAGATGTGCCAGTTAATACAACGAAAACGCCACAACAGAATTTATGCCTATTCTACTGTACGTTCGACATCGGCTGCAGTTAGGCCTTACACAGTGGCTTGTTTTTTCCGAAAGCTCGTGTCAAACATGGGAACATTTTTTTGTTACACTTCAATTAGGAATTAATCAAGCTATTCAAGACAAAAACTTTATATATTATAACGAATGGAAGATTAAGTAGGCCGTCGCTCAAGTTGTCATGCCTTTTACTGGAAATAATCAGTCGGAGCTCAACGTTTGCACAGGACGGAACCTCAATTCTTTCGAAAATTAATGCTTTCCTAAGTAATAGAAAACACTTTTCAGTCTCTGTTTCTTAATAGCCAATTCCAATTGTTTTTTAATAAGGTTGTGGTAATCTAAAGCTTAATTAGTTGAACTTGGCAGATAATAAAAATAGTAAGAATATATCTTAAATCTGTTAATAATACTATAAAGGCTCTCTGAAGTATTTTAAATTCAAAGAGTAAGAAACTTACCATACTCTTCAAAAAATAAAATTGTGCTCATGCTAAAAAAAAACTAAAACAACTTTTCTAATTTATATTTTAATTAAAATAAATCAAGCCAACATATTTTTCCTAGCGTAATAACGATTTTGTATTCCAAATTATACTTCGCGCAAAAAGTTAATAGTTCATTAATTCATACGTTTGTTATTTTACAAGAAATTAATTACATAATGTAAAATTAAAAGAGTACTTTGCATTTTTATCATGTGTATTTCTTGAAAAAACAGTATAAAACATAGAGTTTAACTTCAATTATTCTTTTCTGGTGTTCATCTTCATTTGTGCAAATTTGTCCAGTAGTCAGAATTTTCAAGACTGTTTTCGGCTTTCAATCAGTATAAAACACAACCATTATATGGTTTTGTATTGCTATATTTTTTTGTAATATTAATACTTTAAATATATTTGAAATTAATACACATAAATAAAAAAAATTAAAACCATAGAAACAAATTTTATGACTTACATATTATTCAAAGGACACAAATTACAGACGATATCTTTTTACCTTTTAATTTTATAAGCTAAATTGACTATTTTACCCGCTGTAAATTAATTTTACTGAAAAGACAAAGCTTTCCAACACTACGAAGTTTTATTAAAAGTTTATTCAAACTTTGCTTTAAGTTTCTCATTAATATTAGATAAGTATGAGAAGTAACATAATAGTATTATTGACATATACAAATAAAAAAGTAAATGTATATTTTCTTTATCGTCTAAATAAGAAAACAGCATAAAATCTTGTACCTTTAAAGTAAAATTACCAGTGAATTCATTTTCAACGAGTAGTATTCACTTATCAGTTTCAGGACGACCTGTATGCAAAATATTGTAAAATATACATCCAACATTCACTAAAAGGAAAAACGTTCTTCATCTATTTTTTTGACGGCTTTCATTCGGAAGACTTGCTATTAATGCAATTATAACTATGAATACCTCTTGCTGCTATATAAAATTAGATGCCGAGGATATTTTATTTTGAGGGAGGTTTTCCTGGGAGGCTATTTTTAAATTTCAAACAGAAATTCTCCCACACACTATTGCACACTGAACACTGGCAAATTGTAGCAAATTGGAATGATATGGAAATTCTATCAGAACAAAGTTGGAATGATTTCCGTGGCAGCCTCAAATATTATCGTTGTCTTTATAACTCCCCAGAAAGGAATGTTTGAAGATATTTAAGGAAAGTGTTCTGCTTTTGTACCGCTACAGTACAAAAGAAGCAGCCAGCAACGAAGAAAACGTATAGCTTCGCATACAAAATGTCTTTCTACCAACTTAATTTACAAAATAAATACAATAAAATTCTATAACATTCAATCTGAACATAGTACATGATTTTAATAAATGCTACAATATGATATATAACAAAACAAAATTTTCCAGTTAAGAGCAATATGCATATAGGCTTTTCGTGAGACAAAATTTCTAAGACTACAAAAGTTACACATGCTATAAAAGGAGTTAACGGCAGTATTACAAATAAAAAAAATACATATAACGTTTCAACTTAATACAGTTTCTAAGCAATTCACACAAAATGAAGTTTATATGTGCGTAACATATGTAGTACATATGTATTTATAAATGAGCAAAGTAATGGTCTTTAAAAAAAATTTTCTTGTATTAATTTTAATCACATCCACGATGGTAGACTATAACTCAAATTTCAGAAAACTTTTGTGGCAAATTACGTTGCATAATCTCAATGAATCGGAGTAAAAGTGGATGTGACTACAATTAAATAACAAAATAGGCAAGCTAGATATATATTTTTGTAAGTTATTCAATGCAAATACCATTAACTTTGAGCTGTGCAGAGTGCGTTACAGTTGCGGCGTCATTTTGAACGCGACATGTGTACGTGCCGCTTTGGGCCCACGTCACACTTGTGATGCTAAGGGCACTGGTGAAATCATCATTCTGGCGAATTGTCACTAGGCCACTACCTTCACCACCGCTACGACCATTTTCATTCGAAACGACGTGTTCATATTGTTGATGAAAAGTCGGTGAGGAGGAGGAGATGGATGAGGTTGATACAAAGCCAGAACTCATAACAGCAGCGCCACCGGTACCACTAAGCCCACCGCTAACACCATCGGATGAGGCGGTTGCTTGCAGAAGATGCCCGTCCTTTAGCCACGTGAATGAAAGCGGCAGGTCCCCGGTGCCAATAACGCACTGAATGCTTGTACGGTCGCCGACATTCAGATCGCGTGCGAATGAGAATGGTGTAATCTTGGGCGGAACTGCGTGTTTAATATCAAAACCATTTTTAAATACAGCAGATTTAACATATTTATATAGACTCAAAAGTATCGCACGACTATACATATGTATTTTCATCTCTGGATATATGTACATATTGATACATGTACACATGTGTCTTAAGATGAACGAACGTGTACATATATGTACATATACATAGTATGTACATGTGTGCATACATACATAAAAATGTAAGATATGTGGATTACAAAATTTTAAACATACTTAGAGTCAAAAATTACACCTGTGGTGAGGCTAACGGCAGCATTATTAGTGAAATGGTCAGTTTCTCCTCCCAAATTTCGTGTTTCGTGCTATTAAAAAACGCATATTTAAGAAGTTAAAACCAAAGAGCAAACAAAATAAATAAGAATTCCCTAACCTATCCTATGGACACGATAACCAGGATGATGAACTGACCGAAACTCAAAGCCCAATAATGAAAATAGTCCCAGTTGATATGTCCTTTCCAGCTCAAAAGCGTTTTCTGTCCGCACAACTGTCAATAGGGCTTAAATGTCGCGTGTTTCCATGCGTGCTTTGTGCATTTATTGGTGCAGTGCAGACGAAAAGTGCAGGCAATTGCCAAATATAAATTAATTTGCAAAAATAGCAAATAATTGGACACAAAAAAGATTATCAATGACAAACGCATGTCAAAGTTTGCCCGAATGGAGTTATTTAACATCCAATATTAGTGAATAGAATTTCTTCGACTGCGAATTATATAAAATAAATACAGAAAACGTGCTTCATGCGTAAAGTTTTTATAAATGTTCCTAGTGCCCAAATTAAGGGACATGTACATACATAAATACATATATACGCGTTCACACATATAGGTATGTTCAAAATTTAAATATATCGGAATGTTCATACAAATTGGACCCTTGCATGAGTCCACAGGTTAATCGGCTCCTTTTTTTTGCTGCTGCAATGCTATACACTTATTAAAATAAAGTATTATTCCGTAAATTGGAAGGATAAAATCATTGAATTAATCTGAAATATACTCTATTTATTCCTGAAATCAATTTGTATTTCGTGGATTAGCCGATAATTAAGAGATCTGAGACTCTTGCAGATCCTCTCCGAAACATAGTCTACCCTCTCCTTGCCGGTAACCTCAAAACCTAAGTAGTGGATCGGATGAGAATCTCGAAAAGTAGCAAATCATATGTGGTTTGTATAACTATACCTTAATCGTATTTTTTACTTGTATCACACTTTAATTTAATTTTTTTTTTTTTCGAAAACTCTACTGTATCCCATATAACAGTAAGATTGAAATGATGGATAAGACTGCCCATACAAACATTTAAATGTAGCTTCTTTTAATTTCGAGAATAATGTTACTTATTGAGGTTCGAATGAATTAAACATCCTTCTAATGGACTTCAAGTCCAATCTACACTGCAAGACAGAGCTAATTTGAGGATTAACTAGTGTAGGTGGCCGTCTCAACACGGCGATCAGTCGAAAAGGTGTGCCAAAATGATTTTTTACAACAAGCACAGCTGATTTTGACCAGACAAATCATACTTTCATGGTATAATTTTACGTTTCTCAGCCGCTGTGCTGCTACCAGATCGACAAAAAATCGTACCAAGAGCATATAGTTCTCTAGCTTCCCATAATCGTACAGAGTATGACCATATCTACCACTGTATCTACTGTATCAGATCGGATCATTAGTATGGGCAAAATGAACCAATAAATTTTTGGTGGCTACGCCACCACCTTCCACGCGCTTACTGTTCCTCTTACACTCTTTCCTCTTCCATATACTCTTCCTCGTCCAGTGTGATAATCCTAACAACTAATGATGGTGTGAGAATAAAGACAGATGTAGCGGAATAAGTGTAGCATGGCCTACGGAATATTTTTAAAGAATTTGCACTCTTTGTAAGCGCAAATTAAATCCTTAAGCATTTGTTTTCTATAACATCTATGTTCAATGTTCTATATCATGTTCAATGCCGGGAAAATTATAGAATTCACTGGCTACAAAATCGTAGGGTTATCATCAATCAAACCTAAATTTTCAATTCGGATGGATAAATACTTAAATACAAAGTAAGCAAATAGCTTACTTTGGAATAATTCTTAGCCTAGTAATTTCAATCGAAATGCTTTTTGCAACGTCAGTGTATATAATACATTATATACATTAAATTTCATGAAATACTACATCAACTGTAGATATGCAGACGGCTTCCTTATATATTCGTTGCCTTGTCTATATTAAATATGATTTGGTCAAAATAGACACTTCCATTCAAAAGTTCAGCTCAACAGCTTATAAACTCAAAAAGTAAGCTTCCCCTTCGCAGCAGACTTTTTTAGTACAAGGTCATGATATTTCTCATATGAAAATTAGCCATTTAATTCTGGGGATGTGCAGCTAATACGCATTTTATAAAGATAGGAGGTATGCAACCGAAACCCCTAAGGGCGATTACAGAAGCTCTTTGCTCGAAAGAGATCTCCGTATCTCCAAAGTTAGGGTGTACAATGAGTATACCATAGTACAATGTTTGAACATCCAACCGAAGCAGCTCGAGGACTACTGCACCCTCAAACCCCACGAAGTCTTAGACCCTCAAATATCACAAGTAGAAAAATGTCCTAAATTATGAAAATTAAAATCATCTCATTAAAGTGTATATATACGCCTATGTATGAAACTCTTGAAATAATAAGCAAGCCATTGAAAATATAAATTATACGCGATCGAAGTTTAAGTAAAACTGATTTCTGTTAGTAAATAAAATACACTCATTAAATACAAATTAAAAATTAAATTAAATCAAATTTTGTATGAACTTTTAAGCCAAGTATGCGGACTGCGTCAGCTGTTTTTTCATCTATCTTGATTTTTTTGTAATTAAGACTCGTTTTGTTGCATAAAAAGCCGTTTACTTTTCATTTCGTCGAGGAAAATGTTTTCGTTTTAAAAACGGATAAATCTTGCGGATTGTGAAAACGGGAGCACCAATTTATGTGATTTCAAAAGAAAGTCGGAAAATTTTTGTGAAAGTGAAAACCGGAGCTTTCCTGAATAATATTGTTGCATGTCACATGTTCCAACAGCAGAAAAAAAGGAAGAGTTGGTCAACAAAATGGCTATTAAAACGAGAATTAGAATGCAAGTACATACAAAAATTTAGATTTTTCTAAAAATTACTGAAAATAATTGTATTGGAAGAGAGAGGGAAGAATTCAAACGTACGGGGAATTCCTTACAAGTTCACACGATAGGCAGAAAAGGCTTTAAATATTTGTAGAATATTTCAAAACGCAACAAAAACGCAAACATAGCTCAACTTTGTGTCATCTATGTAAAAAAAACTGAGTTTTAATCAAAACTCAATAACTCAAGTCTAGTGTACATAGGGCATAAAACTGCTTTTGATTTTACCCAAATTTATTGCAATTTTATTTAAATTTTTTTCTAATGGATTTTGCGGAAGAGATATTAGTTTGGGCAATAAAAGTTAAAAATATACTATTAGCTGAAACTGGGACTATTCTAAAATTTTTTTAAAACAGTTTAATACGTACGAAAGACTTTGTGGAAGAAATTTTATTGCAAATCATATTATAGAAAATAAAAATGAAACAATTATGAAAAAATTAACTTTCCTTGATTGGTTGCCATTCATATTAGTTGGGTTTCATAAAATCGGGATACAATTATTTTGACCTATCCATGGTAATGCCCATATTCTTGAATATCAGTCAAACTGGTAGCACAGAGAATACGCAGAGATGGATGCGCGGAGAAGTGGCTGAACTATACTTTGAAAGCACAATTTGGGTAGACTTTGTGTTGGTGAACATAGTTTTGGTACAAATAATGATACAACTCTTTGACTGATAACACTGGGCTACCAACACTGATTTATCTTTTGTCTCCTGCTATCTCTGTCAAGAAGTCTAGATTGGACTTCAAGTCTGGTATAGGCGGTGCGTAAAAGGTTTCGTTACCTCGTACCTCTTAATGCAAAAACCTATCTTATACCAAAGACTATAAATTACCAAGATATTGTGTCAGGAGCAAATTCCATTTCAATTTTCGTTCGACGCTTCATGGTGCTTTAATTTTCCGTTAGGCTATCTTTCGTTCAGCCCGGCCGGGCAGATTCCTACAACAAGTACACAGTCTTTGGCGAAGCGTAGTCGTCTCCTGTCTCGATGACAAGGCCTCGCATGCCCAAGACATACAATGTGTGATAGTATTCTAGAGCATTCCGTTTGAAACCTGGCGAGCTGAACAGGCGAAGCCAATCTGGCAGCGTAACGAAGTCAGAGACGAAGCATGGGTGAAAAGAGAATTGAAAGCCCCGCGCGCGCTCTTTGTATGTTTTGCCGTATGCATGAGTGGAGCTCTCCACACCACCCCAAATGATGCGCTAAATGCCGTTCTATGCGTCAGATCTTTGACGTAGCAGGAAAGGAACAGCCAGAAATGGCAGCAACCGCAAAATGGTGGCTACAAAAGCGCACTTCGGCGTTCCACGGAGTACACAGAAACCACTTTCAAAATAGTCATCTCTCATGGAAACGTATGGCTGGTTGGACCACCACGCCCAGATAGCATTTTCACAGATGGATCGCAGCTGGAAAACAAGGTCGGAGTAGGAATCTACTCCAATTAGCTGAATATAAGCCCCTCCTTAGACTCCCAGATCACTACAGCGTCTTCCAGTATGAAGTAATATGAATCAGGGATGATTTGCATCATCTATAGCAATAGTTACATCTTTTGTAACTTAAATGGAATATCCTCTTCTACACAGTGACAATTTGTTATATAAATATTTTAATTTAAAATGTGTATGAAAAACATTTATAATTTAAATATTTTTATTTAAATTTGGTATTTCCAATTTTTTTTTCTTTTTCTTTTTTGCTGGATTGGTTATTTCACCCACTATGAGACGGTAAACTTAACCCTAAAAAGTTTTAAGGTCCGCTTGATAGCTGTAGAGGTTTGTTAAAACTAGTTAAAGGATTCTCAAGATCAAACAATTTTAAAAATGTTGGAGCTCGAACTCTGTAAAAAAGTAGATTTGATGTAAAAAAAAGATGGATTTTTGTGACTAGTGTTGCCTTTCAACTGTTCCGGACGGACATCTTAATTTGTCTATTTTCCTGAAATTTGAGGTATTGAGGTATTGAGCAATACTTCTATGTATTTTCTATTAATAAGTCCTCTGACCAAGAATTCCTTCAAATGTTCCAATAATGATGAACATGATGCAACAAAGATAAGGAAAACTCTTACTTCTCTCTATAAACAAAATCTTAACAATATAATAATACTCTTTGCAGGGATGTTAACTCAAGGCAACGTACCTAAAACTTGAACTTCAACTGACCGCTGAGAAGTGTAATTGTGCTTATTCCGAGCAATGCAAGTGTAGGTGCCCTGATCTGCACCGCGTTGCACGTTTTCAATAGTTAAGGTTCCGTTTTGCATACGCTGTCATATGTTTATGGGTAACCTAACGCCGTCTGTAAATAAATAAAAAATAGGAGTATGTGAAAGTTTGTGTATTCACATATTTTACACATACATGTATGTAATGGATGTTTAAACAAAATTGTATGGATTTATAAAATTTTACCTTTTTCAATGTTAACTGTGTCGATGGGATATCCAGCTATAGGACACTTGAGTGTAAAAACCTTACCAGCCACCGCCGACAGCTTTGACATATGACGTATGTACGGCATTCCTTTATAAATAAGTTTAAAATTTATATATTATTTATTTTTAAATAGTAAAAGAAATCTTACCATAGATGTTAAGGCGAGCAGAGTGCGATGCCACTCCAGCTTTTGAGAGAGCTCTACATTCATAATCTCCTCCGTCTTCTGACTTTACTGCCGTAATATTTACGTGAGATATGACATCCCCAAACATGGTCACATATTGACCGATCATGAGTCTATCATTCTATAAAAAAGAGATGATACAAAACCTTTTTATTATGTATGGTTGCCTCTCACAATTCGACAGTCAAAGCAATGACGCACAGTGAGGCGTCAGCCGAAAAGAGGTGGCAAAAGTCATTTTTTAAGTGAGCAAAATGGATAATTTGAACGCATCTAATAGAGAATTTTCTAAGACTTCCGAAGATGGAAACTTTGAGAAAATTGGAGCTTAGCTTAGGAGATATAAGCATTCAAGATGGAAAATTTTTACTGAATTACTGAATTTGTATGCACATACATACTGCATTATTCAGGTCGAATAAAAAGTAAAATATGCAAATATGTTTAAATTGTACAATGAAAAACAATTGGCTTGTTGGAAAGACTCCTAAAGAAAATTTGACTTGAAAAACTATATATTTTGGACTCACAAAAATACTATTCCACGCTACCCTAAAAATTTGTATACCCGATACTCAAAATTAGTATAGGGGTATATTACATTTGTGGTAAAAGTGAATTTAAAAACATTGAAATACACTTGTAACTGTGTGATATCACAGGAGACAAAATACAACATTTCATTGCTCTAGCTCTTATAGTCTCTGAGAACTAGGTGTCAAAAAGGACGGACGGACCGACGGACAGAAAGCCGTGGCTCTATCGACTTGGCTATTGACGCTGATCAAGAATAAATTTACACTATGGGGTCTGAAACGCTTCCTTCTGGGCGTTACATTTCATTAAATTTCCATTTTCCCCGCAAATCTAATATACCCTATTCTATTTTTGACTATCGAGTATAGTCTATCTATCTATATATACATATAAAATAAATTCGTGTTAGTTACACCATTTATAACTCAAGAACCTATAACTGAACCGATAACGATAACTGAACCGATTTGGCTGAAAATTAGTGGGGATGTAGATTAGATTAGGGAGACTGCTATAGGATACTTCATCCCGACAGCGTTCCCGTGTGGGGACATGATATTAACGTCAGCATAGTAGGCTGTTTGTCACAGGCAGCGGCTTGGCTGCGTTTTTAAAACAAGAAATCATTATTTTAATTTCGAATGTTTGAATGTTTTGATTTTTTAATTTTGTAAGTAATTTGTATTCTTTTCAATTCATCTTTAAAAATTCCGCGACCAAGTCAATCCAATCTTTAACGACAAAGCCGTTATTCAAGAACGATACGAAATATAGCGAATGAAACCTCTGAAGCAGAACAACAAATTGCCCCTGAATTGCAGCAAGGATTACTGCTTGCATCCAACCGTTTGTATTGGTCCAATGGGCGGATTGTGCAGCTTAGTGGTATCACGTCATTTTCTTGCAAACACTCAAACAATGATACAAATGACATGTTTTGGAAAAATGATGAATTCATTGAATGATGAAAACTACAAAGAAAGTTAGCTCGATAAATTATTACGCATATCGTTTGATGATTCGGCAAAGTGCTGACAACTATTTGCTGCGGTTTCGTCGATTATTTTAGCAGTATTCCGTCCACATGTACGTCAAAATATAAACGGAATGTTTAACTTACATTAGGTTGGACCAAGCCAAATTGCGTTCTGAATAGTATATATGTACATTTACGTGATGCAATTTGTACTGAAGGAAATGGTTAATGTGCGTAGGCCAACGACATTTGAGTCACTACGCACTGTGAATGGAACAATATTCCTAACATATCGTGCTGCATGTGAAGAACTCAATTTATTAGAAAACGATACACATTCGGTTTCGACAATCGAGGAAGCTATTATCTCTACAATTGTAAGTCAGATACGCACATTATTTGCTATCATCATTTCGACATGCTCTCCATCGAACCCATCTAATGTGTGGCACTCATACAAGGATAATATATCAGAAGATATTTTACATCAAAATCGTGTGAGTTTCAGAAATGAATGATGAGATACATAATCAAGCTTTACTATTGATCGAAGACATGTGTTATGAATGACGCATTTAATCGAGAATTGGAACGGGAACGTGAATATTTAATTTAATTTAAATTAGCTGTTCAAGTAATGTACCCCTTTTGAATCCCCAACAAAAGGAAGTTTATGATACATGCATTAATAAAAGCAACTGATTATGGAAATGGTGGTTTATATTTCCTAGATGCCCCTGGTAGAACTGGTAAGACATTCCTCATGTCAATGGTTTTAGCCACTGTTCGTGCGAGATCCAAAATTGCGGTTGCAGTTGCTTCTTCTGGAATAGCAGCCACATTGTTAGAAAGATGCCGTACAGCTCATTCAGCATTAAAATTGCAGTTAAATATTCAAAATATTGAAGAAACTATATGTAAACTTTCAAAAAAAACTACGCAATAGCCAACGTTTTTTTAACATCGAAAATCATCATCTGGGATGAATGCACAATGGCGCATAAACGTGCATTAGAAGCACTTAACCGAGCATTAGCGATTTCCGCCAAACACTGGCAGTAATTCCAAGATCAAGATACCGACGAAATAAACGCTTACCTAAAATCATGGAATCTACGGCGCTATTTGAAGAAACTTCAGCTGACAACAAACATGAGAGTTGCATTGCAAAATGATACATCTGCTGACGATTTCTCAGACGACGCTGACTATCGGTAATGGTTGAGTACCTGTCGACGAATCGAGCGGATTTGATGTAATTTCCTCAGAACTTCTGTAACTTTTTCACAAAAGACGAGCTCATCAACAAAGTATTCCCAAATATAATTTTCAACTACAAAAATAATGAATGGCTGAGTGAGCGAGCAATTTTATGGGGTAAGAATAAATATTTAGATGACCTTAACTACGTAATTTAGAGCGGGATCACTGGAACAATGCATTCATTCAGAGTTTCGAGTTTGAAAGATTTCAATTTCCGATACGTCTTGTATTCGCCAAGACTATTAACAAATCACAAGGCCAAGGGCTTGAAAACATGTGGTCTGAAAATGGAAAATCAATGTTTTTCCCATTGCCAATTATATGTGGCATGTTCACGGATCGGAAGACCATCTTCGTTGTTTGTTTTTGTGCATGATAATAAAACAAAAAACGTTGTAAGTCACAGGGTGCTTAGCTGAAAAAATAAAGCATAAAAAAGTATAAAAAATCTTTTAAAGAATCGTTAAAATACAAAAATGAACTTGATAAAATAAAAAATATGCCTAAAAATTATTTCCTCTAAGGCGGAAAAAAGTTATCCGGGTCATATAAAAATTGTTCGCTATAAATTAGCCAAAATTGATTAAAAATTGTTTTTTTATTGCGTGGCAGAACAACGTCTGCCGCGTTAGCTTGATAGTTATAGATAGTTATTGATACAATTTTTTCCTTAAAGTCTCTCTAAAAAGACTACTTAGTTGTTGCTAAAATATAAAGCATGGAAAAACCCGGTACTTAATTGAATTAAAAAAAAAAAAACTATTACTGTACTGAACTTTGAATTCAGATCATAGGCCAATTATAAAAAAATATGAAACAAAAAATTGTATATGGGATAAAATAAATATGGGAAAATTGTGGCAGATGGATAGTATTTTACATTGATGTTCTCGTAGTATTTTTACCTTTCAGTACGTATTTATTATATGGGATTTTATTATTTTATTATTTAGACTTGTAACGGTTTAATTTGTTTATGTTAATTTTGTATTGTTCGAAGTTGTAGCATAAAATATTTAATTTGACTTAAATGCTAAGAGGCTTTGCCCATACGGACTAAGATGGCTTATTTAATAAGCCTTCTTTTATACTTTATCATCTGAATACACCAATAATACTTACGTTAGGCAAAGGAAACCCATCCACATACCACACAATTTTTGGTGTCGGATTTCCACTAGCGCTGCACTTTAATGATACGGATGGACCTGGCTGCATAGTTTGTTCAATGAACTTGTAGAGCAACTGAGGGGCAACTTCTGCAATCGATTTATGTAAATATTTAGAAAATTTATTTAATAATTATATATTAAGGATACAATACCTCCTAATCTTAATTCAGCGGAGCTCTGAGTAGATTCAAAATCGTTTTTAAGAATACATTGATACATTCCCTTATCTTCTTTTACGATGGACGAGATATGAATATGCTCATTGGATAAGAGTCGTACACGAGAACCTGTGCGCAAGGTACCGCCATCTTTCATCCAAATAATATTTTGTGTGGGAAATCCAGATACACTGCAAACCTGAAAGCCAATGTGGTTAAATTCACAGTAACAATATATTATTATAAGTATGTCACTTTACTCACTAAATCAGCAGTATGACCCAGACTAACTGTCTGTACGGCGGGCTGTATGCTAGCGCTTAATGCAGATGTTACAGATAAATCTACTTTGAATGTTTCGGTTCCCTCTGAGTTTGTCACAGTGCAAAAAAAAGCACCATTATCGGCTTTTATGACAGCCGATATAATAAGAGTACCATCTTTTGTCTTAGCCCTTCCAGTAGCCAGCATATGCTGCATTGATTCCTCATTACTTGAACGTTTAGTATGCCATCTGTATAAGATAATATGAAGATTGAAATCAAGACAGGAAGACACGAATAAACTTTTTTAAAGAACTACAAAAATGTTGCGATTCTCAAAAGCTAATAAGGCTAACCTAAAAGGGCTTGGGAAATATGCAGCTTCCCATCGAACTGATTCTTTGAGTTGTATGAAATTAAATTATAGCTAATCAAGGTTTTATTTGAAAGCATGTTTCCAAAATCGCATTTTACCGTTACATACCGTTCGATATTTATCTGGTCCAAGTCTGTATTGATATTTAATTTCTTAGTAATATGAATATAATTATTTTAATATCCAGCCTGTTCAACAGCAAAAGGATAAATTTTCCCAAGACGGTTTTTTTGGGTACTCAAATCGCTGTACATACGTTCTTTGCGTACTCACACAAGACGATTGTTGTGGTTAAAAATAACGTCAGTATATATGTATGTATGTTTATACATTTAAATACATATAATTACATATTTGTGCTGTGCTTGCGTGGCGACGTTAAGTCCTCGGCAGTCGGTTTAGAGGCCTGAGAGAAGTAGAATAGACAGCCAGAGTCGTTGGATTACCATTTCCACCGACATAGAGAAGTTAGAAGACCTCTCGTCACCCCACCTCAATGGTGGACGTCACGAGGAACTTGTACGGAACCAACAGGCTTAGACGGAGGGCAGTGTAACGAATGGTCAAATTCAGTATACCAACTATTGGGTAGTCATGCTATTCACTGGAAATACTTAGTCTTGATTCAGAGTTGTTAAGATCAACACGTAGATTCTCAGAAAATAAAGTCGTCCAGATATATATATATATATATATCAGATATATATGTGCATACAAAATGAGTAAATTGCTGCTCACTAAAAACAGGGTAATTCTTAAAGGCTCATATCTCCTAAGATAAAAATCCGTTATTTTTGAGGTTAAAATTTGTATAAGAATCTTTTTATAATATCTCATGAAATCAAGCGTATCTCAAAATTTTTCCTGGCTCCATACCGAATTCGTATAGTCACTATATATTGGGTAAAAACGACGGCAACCTCTGTTCGTTGCAAATGTCTGGTAAAAACAAAAAAACCCCTCTGAAAGGATTTAAAAAAATCTTGGGAATATATCTTACCTGTACGTAGGTTTTGGATTTGCATATGCTACACATGCAACAACTAATGGATCTCCTGCTCTTATCATCAGCTTGGTAGTTTTCTCATTCATAATTGGAGGAACAAGTTCACGCATTTCTAAAATAGTAAGAAAAATAAAATTACACAGTGGAAAACTAAGGTCATTGATGATAAAAAGCTAGAAAATCGTACAACTATTGTACAGCACCCAACAGAAGTGATAAAGGACATTTAAGTTCAATAGGCAATATATAGCTTTGCAGGTATAAGATACTACCAGCCATGATACAGGTGTTCTCGGCCATAGTGTCCAGTGATTGTCAAAAATAATCATCGCGTTTCTAGGCACATTCGGGTTGTCCATTCAAAGGTTGGAAAATGAAGCAAATAAGCCTAAGTCGGTAAAAACAATCGGACTAAGCATCACCACTAATAGCAACTGCAGAAACTATGAAGAAAACGGCACTATTGAAGCTATCATCTCAACTCTAACTCTTGGCTTTTTCGGTTTTTAAACCTACCACTTCGGTTAAAGCTTTGCCTCGGACAAATTACAGGAGCTAGTTAAGAATAGCTAAATAGCTAAAAAAAATCGGAAAGAGACAGCGCGATATAACTCAATTTGCAGATAAGGAGGCTAAACATGAGAATATCATAGCAGGTTGTACATACAGTGCACTTAATGATATGTATACGCGACTTATATTAAGAAAATCGTTAAATTATCAGGATTTTTTTCTTTAAATGGGAAAAACATTTCTAACAAGGGGTAACGTTGAGAGCCGCAGCTACGGCCGCGACTCTACATTTATACCCTCAATTGACTCGACTATTGATGCTATTGATTATGATCAAGAATATATACACTTTATGGGTTCGGAAACGCTTCCACTTTACCCACAAATCTAATGCATCTCTATACTCATTTCGACTATCGAGTACAACAACAAGCGGGAACGTTGTGAGCCGTGGCAGGCCGTGCACCAGTAGCGAACTTTTATAGCCAATACAATAGCTACTTCTGCACAGCGAGCTCAATCGATGGAGGAATTCCACTCGACGAGGCATGCCTCATGCTTATCTGTGAGGCCAATACGACTCTTCAGGTTAATCTGGCTTGTGAACCTTAACGTGGCTTGTGAACCCCATAAAGTATATATATTCTTGATCAGCATCAATAGCCGAGTCGATTGAGCCATGTCTGTCTGTCCGTCTGTCCGTCCGTCTGTCCGTCCCCTTCAGCGCCTAATGCTCAAAGACTATAAGAGCTAGAGAAACGATGTTTTGGATCCAGACTTCAGTGATATGTCACTGCTACAAAAATATTTCAAAACTTTGCCCCGCCCACTTCCGCCCCCACAAAGGGCGAAAATCTGTGGCATCCACAATTTCGACGATACGAGAAAACTAACGAGGGGGAACGTTGTGAGTTGCTGCGGACACCGCAACTCTACGGTTATACCCGATACTAAGTCAGTATGGCTCTCCTCCGGCAGACGCCGCTAATATTTAACGACACGACAAAGAGTGCGTGCGAGAGAGACAGAAAATCAGTCTGAGCGTGACGTCGGGCGCTGCGTAGCCACTGCAAATTGATTTGTTCCTTTTGGCTATAAAAATGATCTGATCTGATCCAGATTCATCAATCTAATAGATATGGTCATTATCTATGATTCTGCGTTTTTAGTTTTCTCAAATCTGCAATATTGTGGATGCAACAGATTTTCGTCCTTTGTGGGGGCGGATGGGGGTGGGGCGAAATTCTGAGATACACGTTTTATAGTGACATCTTAAAGGAGTGTGTGTACCAAATTTGGTTACTCTAGCCTTAATAGTCTCTGAGATTTGTGGTTGCCTCAGATTTTCGTCCTTTGCGGGGGCGGAAGGGGGTGTGGCGAAATTTGGACAGGAAACGGTCAAGGTCCGATATCACAGGAGTGTGGATACCAAATTTGGTTGCTCTGGCTTTTATAGGTTCTGAGATCCTTGAACTCATATTTTACAATTGGCAAAACCGACCATGAAACCTGTGTGTTAGAGTGAGACAGAGCGAGAAAGAGTGAAATTGTTTTCGTGATTCTGGCTGTAATAATTATACGATCTGGTTCAGATTTTGCACTCTAGAAGATATAGTCATCTTCTACGATTCTGCGTTTTTAGTTTTCTCGTATCGTCGAAATTGTGGATGCCACAGATTTTCGATTTTGTGGGGGCGGAAGTGGGCGGGGCAAAGTTTTGAAATATTTTTGGAGCAGTGACATATCACAGAAGTCTGGATCCAAAACATCGTTGCTCTAGCTCTTATAGTCTTTGCGCATTAGGCGCTGAAGGGGACGGACAGACGGACAGACGGACAGACGGACGGACGGACAGACGGACAGACGGACAGACAGACATGGCTCAATCGACTCGGCTATTGATGCTGATCAAGAATATATATACTTTATAGGGTCGGAAACGATTCCTTCTGGACGTTACACACATCCACTTTTACCACAAATCTAATATACCCCAATACTCATTTTGAGTATCGGGTATAAAAACGCAGAATCGTAGAAGATGACTATATCTTCTAGAGTGTAAAATCTGAACCAGGTGGCTATGATAATTAGCCAGAATCAATAAAACAATTTCATTTTTTCTCGCTCTGTCTCTCTCTAACACACAGGTTTTGGTCGGTTTTGCCAATTGCAAAATATGAGTTCAAGGATCTCAGAACCTATAAGAGCCAGAGCAACCAAATTTGGTATCCACACTCCTGTGATATCGGACCTTGACCGTTTTGTGTCACAATTTCGCCACACCCCCTTCCGCCCCTGCAAAGGACGAAAATCTGTTGCATCCACAATATTACAGATTTGAGAAAACTAAAAACGCAGAATCATAGATAATGACCATATCTATCAGATTGCTGAATCTGGATCAGATCAGATCATTTTTATAGCCAAAAGGAACAAATCAATTTGGAATGGCTACGCAGCGCCCGACGTCACGCTCAGACTGATTTTCTGTCTCTCTCGCACGCACTCTTTGTCGTGTCGTTTAATATTAGCGCCGTCTGACGGAGGAGAGCCATACTGACTTAGTATCGGGTATAACTGTAGAGTTGCGGTGTCCGCAGCAACTCACAACGTTCCCCCTCGTTTAGACTAATTTAATGTAATTAAATTTTTTTCATGCTTTATTTTAGTGCTACAAGTTTAAGTTATTATTATTTATTATTTATTAATTATAAATTACTTAATATAAACTTATTTAACTTATTACTGAGCTAGCCACGTTAAATTTCGAGTTTTTGTAGAATGTTATTTACTGAAATATATTAAATATCAATTACAATTTTTCGAAAAGCTAATACTTCTATTTATTTGATAGTTTATTCGTAGCGATTTCCAAAGAAATTTTTTAATTAAAATAATTTAATTTTAATTTTATTAACTGAGTCAATCCAAGTATTAGTCTATTGAGAGGAGTGGAGCAGCAATGAAGACGGAAGCTGAGTTGAGGAAGCTTTTAACCCACATATTGGCCTTAACTAATTTTCAATTATAGTGAACCCAGCAGACAAAGCTCTAACCGAACAGATCACAGGTAATGCGTCGCTTCCTTTATCTTCTGGTCGCGACGGAAGGAAGACATTATGTCATCGCTGCTCATGCGCCCACAGCGCAAGAGTGCTCTGGTCAAGTCGAAAATCGATCATTAGCGGATATGAAAGGTGAAATTGGGATAGATTCTACTTTGTGAAAATTTATCGTTACTCCAGTATTTCTACTTATTACCAACATCGATTGTGAAGCTCACGGATTTTCCTGCGCCAGCATCGAGGCTTATGGTGCCGGTAGCCCAGTTATGTTAAACGATCAGGGCTCAGCCCCTGGACTTGAAACTGGACCTTCGCTGGAATTTGCTACAATCATCTCTCATCATCAATCATCTCAAATCATCCTTAACCACCCAAATGTTGGTATATTGAGGGCAGAGGAGCTTCAGTGAAGATTTCCAACTGCATCTTCTATCGCGTTATGGACCACCCATGAACACTTGGAATTGACAATTGACAGTCACTATTAACAAGGTTAAGAATCATTTCTGTAACAAGCTGCATCTGCTCAACCCTCCTGAGTCTTTTGAACATCAGGCTTTCCATGGAGGTATTTTTGTCAGGTTTCCCAGGCCGATATTAGTTAACAAGTTCCTTAAATAATATCAAAGACTATACAATACAAAGATGTTGCATGAGCGACCAAAAAGCTGTTCTATGGCGGGTCCTAACATTAGGACCCAAAAAGCACGAGGGAGCGCGCGGGGTTTCAATTCCCTTTTCGCCTGTACTTCGTCTCTACCGCGACCCCGCTGCCCATCGGTTTCGTCTGTTCGGCAATGCCTTCACCAGCAACGAAATAATTCTCGACTCTCGAGCCTCAGCACCTTCGAAGCGGTGGTCGCGGATCGCCGATGTCTTTGGAGCGGCACTGTGGGACCTTTGGCCGTCTCAGCTTGCTAAATTAGTTTCTACCATGGTAAATAAGGCCATGAGCGTGCTTTGGTTTATAAAGAGGTGGTCTAAGGAATTTGACGACCCCTATATAACAAAGACTCTCTATACCTCGCTTGTTCGTCCGATCTTAGAATACGTCTCATGTCTCTCAGTACAAAGTACACCAGGACCGTATAGAATCAGTACAGAAAAACTTTTTACTCTTTGCTCTGCGGGGCCTTAGCTGAGATGTGGGTGTGAGACTTCCATCTAACTATAGTAGACTGCTATTAGTAAACCCCATCCTTAGTTAGCCGTTGCAACTTGATCAGGGGTGACATAAACAGCCCTGATCTGTTGGGCCGCATAAAGTTCACAATTCCCATTAGACTCACTACAAATTTTAAACCGTTGTTCCTTATCCTCTTATTAAATTACTATTCCTCACATACCTCACATTCGTATTTGTATTTTGAATGCATTCTTAGTTCTAGTAAGTTTAGTGCTAATTTTCCTCGTATTCAGGGGAATGGGCTGGAACGAAGGAAACGGAAAATTGGTATGAAGCAGGCTGCCATACAAAATTACCCGAGCATCGCAGAAACTTACAGGTACAGCGATGGCGGAGACTCACTGTTACTAGACAAATCTGACGTGGATCATTTCATAGGCCACTGAAAACGGCGCGGGACAGTCAGATCGAAGAGTAACATATGAACAAACCATATCCTGGCCTAATCAGCAAAAAAAAAAAAAAAAAGAGCGATCACGTGAGGTTTTCCGGAGACACGACTTGTGGGAAGAGTAAACGTCTGTGTGACCAAGGGAGTCACCTGGGAGGACCTGTTGAGTCAAAGTGTGGATCGATTTTGGAGTGGATTCGTCTATCAAAGCTTGGCCAGGCGAGACCAGGCGAGCAGGTGCTCAAGTGCGGAAAACGAGTTAGTACGGCGACTGAGCGGTTTGCCAGAAATGCGATTTGTACCCCTGCTAGAACTCTAAGTAGTTTAAGCTAGTAAAAACAAACTAGTGACTGAACAAAATTTTAGGCTATTCCAATTAATCACAATCTCTTTCAAATAAATATGTTTGAGTGGATCCCAAATACCCCCTGAGTAAGCCATATTTCAAGCTCGGGTCCACAGAAGCTTCGTCACAAGGTTATTAATAAATACAAATATATAACTAATTAAGGCAAACAATTTACGACTACGAATAACTATCTGTTGCATCCACAATATTGCAGATTTGAGAAAACTAAAAACGCAGAATCATAGATAATGACCATATCTATCAGATTGCTGAATCTGGATCAGATCAGATCATTTTTATAGCCAAAAGGAACAAATCAATTTGGAATGGCTACGCAGCGCCCGACGTCACGCTCAGACTGATTTTCTGTCTCTCTCGCACGCACTCTTTGTCGTGTCGTTTAATATTAGCGCCGTCTGACGGAGGAGAGCCATACTGACTTAGTATCGGGTATAACTGTAGAGTTGCGGTGTCCGCAGCAACTCACAACGTTCCCCCTCGTTTAGACTAATTTAATGTAATTAAATTTTTTTCATGCTTTATTTTAGTGCTACAAGTTTAAGTTATTATTATTTATTATTTATTAATTATAAATTACTTAATATAAACTTATTTAACTTATTACTGAGCTAGCCACGTTAAATTTCGAGTTTTTGTAGAATGTTATTTACTGAAATATATTAAATATCAATTACAATTTTTCGAAAAGCTAATACTTCTATTTATTTGATAGTTTATTCGTAGCGATTTCCAAAGAAATTTTTTAATTAAAATAATTTAATTTTAATTTTATTAACTGAGTCAATCCAAGTATTAGTCTATTGAGAGGAGTGGAGCAGCAATGAAGACGGAAGCTGAGTTGAGGAAGCTTTTAACCCACATATTGGCCTTAACTAATTTTCAATTATAGTGAACCCAGCAGACAAAGCTCTAACCGAACAGATCACAGGTAATGCGTCGCTTCCTTTATCTTCTGGTCGCGACGGAAGGAAGACATTATGTCATCGCTGCTCATGCGCCCACAGCGCAAGAGTGCTCTGGTCAAGTCGAAAATCGATCATTAGCGGATATGAAAGGTGAAATTGGGATAGATTCTACTTTGTGAAAATTTATCGTTACTCCAGTATTTCTACTTATTACCAACATCGATTGTGAAGCTCACGGATTTTCCTGCGCCAGCATCGAGGCTTATGGTGCCGGTAGCCCAGTTATGTTAAACGATCAGGGCTCAGCCCCTGGACTTGAAACTGGACCTTCGCTGGAATTTGCTACAATCATCTCTCATCATCAATCATCTCAAATCATCCTTAACCACCCAAATGTTGGTATATTGAGGGCAGAGGAGCTTCAGTGAAGATTTCCAACTGCATCTTCTATCGCGTTATGGACCACCCATGAACACTTGGAATTGACAATTGACAGTCACTATTAACAAGGTTAAGAATCATTTCTGTAACAAGCTGCATCTGCTCAACCCTCCTGAGTCTTTTGAACATCAGGCTTTCCATGGAGGTATTTTTGTCAGGTTTCCCAGGCCGATATTAGTTAACAAGTTCCTTAAATAATATCAAAGACTATACAATACAAAGATGTTGCATGAGCGACCAAAAAGCTGTTCTATGGCGGGTCCTAACATTAGGACCCAAAAAGCACGAGGGAGCGCGCGGGGTTTCAATTCCCTTTTCGCCTGTACTTCGTCTCTACCGCGACCCCGCTGCCCATCGGTTTCGTCTGTTCGGCAATGCCTTCACCAGCAACGAAATAATTCTCGACTCTCGAGCCTCAGCACCTTCGAAGCGGTGGTCGCGGATCGCCGATGTCTTTGGAGCGGCACTGTGGGACCTTTGGCCGTCTCAGCTTGCTAAATTAGTTTCTACCATGGTAAATAAGGCCATGAGCGTGCTTTGGTTTATAAAGAGGTGGTCTAAGGAATTTGACGACCCCTATATAACAAAGACTCTCTATACCTCGCTTGTTCGTCCGATCTTAGAATACGTCTCATGTCTCTCAGTACAAAGTACACCAGGACCGTATAGAATCAGTACAGAAAAACTTTTTACTCTTTGCTCTGCGGGGCCTTAGCTGAGATGTGGGTGTGAGACTTCCATCTAACTATAGTAGACTGCTATTAGTAAACCCCATCCTTAGTTAGCCGTTGCAACTTGATCAGGGGTGACATAAACAGCCCTGATCTGTTGGGCCGCATAAAGTTCACAATTCCCATTAGACTCACTACAAATTTTAAACCGTTGTTCCTTATCCTCTTATTAAATTACTATTCCTCACATACCTCACATTCGTATTTGTATTTTGAATGCATTCTTAGTTCTAGTAAGTTTAGTGCTAATTTTCCTCGTATTCAGGGGAATGGGCTGGAACGAAGGAAACGGAAAATTGGTATGAAGCAGGCTGCCATACAAAATTACCCGAGCATCGCAGAAACTTACAGGTACAGCGATGGCGGAGACTCACTGTTACTAGACAAATCTGACGTGGATCATTTCATAGGCCACTGAAAACGGCGCGGGACAGTCAGATCGAAGAGTAACATATGAACAAACCATATCCTGGCCTAATCAGCAAAAAAAAAAAAAAAAAGAGCGATCACGTGAGGTTTTCCGGAGACACGACTTGTGGGAAGAGTAAACGTCTGTGTGACCAAGGGAGTCACCTGGGAGGACCTGTTGAGTCAAAGTGTGGATCGATTTTGGAGTGGATTCGTCTATCAAAGCTTGGCCAGGCGAGACCAGGCGAGCAGGTGCTCAAGTGCGGAAAACGAGTTAGTACGGCGACTGAGCGGTTTGCCAGAAATGCGATTTGTACCCCTGCTAGAACTCTAAGTAGTTTAAGCTAGTAAAAACAAACTAGTGACTGAACAAAATTTTAGGCTATTCCAATTAATCACAATCTCTTTCAAATAAATATGTTTGAGTGGATCCCAAATACCCCCTGAGTAAGCCATATTTCAAGCTCGGGTCCACAGAAGCTTCGTCACAAGGTTATTAATAAATACAAATATATAACTAATTAAGGCAAACAATTTACGACTACGAATAACTATAGAAACTCACCCGTTAGTTGAATTTTTCCGACGTTGTTGCTTACTACGGAATCTTGCGTTAACTTATGATGTGTGCGACAGCGATATAATTTTTGGGCATCACTTTTTGTAATGTTATAAACCAATAGCTCCCCAGTTAACAACATATGGTTTTTACCATCTGTAAACCAAAAGAAGAAAAATATTTAAAGCATGAGTATAGTTTTTCTATTCTATTCATTATCAATTTTCCATACCGCCTTCAAGTGATGGGTAAATGTTGAAGTTCGGCTCTTGTAGCCACGATGTTACTGTTACATACTCTTTTACAAACGAGGGAATTGTACATTTTATGAGTACATTGCTGCCAAGAAATCCACCTGGATTTTGTACTTCAGGTTCATAACGTTGATAAACCACTGAAAGTATTTGAACAAAGGTTGATTTGTATGTATTTAGTTATTAGTCTAATAGTTTCTATATTGAACGGTGAGAGAGAGTTAGTTTCTACTTAAGCAGAGAGACTTTATTTCCAATAGAATTTGTATTATAATAAATACGGACAAAGACTGGATATTTCTAATACATTCTGGCATGATAACAATAGTCAGCCTACTTAATCTCTAATCTTATTCGTCTGGAACAAATTCCAAGTCACTTCGATGATGGAGCGATCCGGAAAACGTACCGGAAAACCTCCTCCAGGTGTGCCCATGTGTCGACCGTTTAAGCGGGTTGACGAGAGGACTTGCAACCTCTCGCTGCCGGTGGGAGTGGCTACCTAACGTTTTTAGTAGTTATTCCGTTTCTCTCGGGTCTCAAGCTCTAACTGGATTTTCGAAGACTTAACGTCGTTGATGAACGCTCCCGTCAGCTTCTTCTTATTTTTAACTGTTTTCTGCAGTGAGTTTACTTCTGATGTGCTGACTTTCCCCACTCCAATACTCTTCTGCGAAAGAAGATTATTCTGCCTTCTTAACCTGGTGGTCGCCTTTCTTCCTGAACGCAGGAGGCAGCTGAACATCCCGGTTTTCCGATGTATTTTCAGTCTAAACCGCAACGTCGATTTTTTTCTTTGCCATTTCTTTGTGCGATGCGTACATCTTTCTTACGTACCCTTTCTTCCCGTTTTCGCATATAGCTTATTGTTCATTCCCATATCTCAGAACTCTTACCTTCAAGGCCAGTGTAAAATCATGGGTCATCAAATCTACTCCTATTATGTGTCGTCCATGATAACAGTTACTATTAAATCTTAATCTAGACTCGTCTTCGCTATTCCAAGCTTCTTTTTAATTTTTGCCTTATCTGCTCATCTTCAGAGGCTCCACATTTCCTTTAACTATGCCCCTTCTAATTATTGAATGACAAGCACCTGTATCCAAAGTCAACACGTTCATTTCATTTCGCCTCTGATAGTGAGCTTTCCAAATCTCGAGTCCATTTATCTCTCTGGTTACGCATCATTGTAGGTGTGAGAGTCGCTCTACATCTGTGGCGAACTCTTGCAGTTGACAACAGTTCTGACAACAGTTGTTATGTTTCTATAGTTCGAATTCCAGATTAATTAACCTCAGACAGAGAGTTAGTTTCTACTTAAACAGAATGACTTTATTTCCAATAGAATTTGTGTTGCTCCAAACAACTTCGAGCCAAGACTGGATATTTCTGGTATGGTCCGCCATGACAACAATAGTCAACCTACCAAATCTCCCATTCGTTACAATATCAATAAATAAACTTATTCAGGCAGGCTCCGTTTTTCACTTTATTTTGCGAATTACGTTTTCAGCCAAAACGTTTCGTTTTCGATTTAAGGTGTTGTTCTTGTTGCCCTGTTAAATTTTTTCCGACCCAAAATTGAGGTTGGGTTAAAATAAAATTATTTATATAGAAAGCAAGTGTTCGGGCCAGCCGCTGAAGAATAACCGTAACTTTAACATTATTATTGTATGAGCATAGAGAGCCGCCTACATATGTTGTAAAACGTTTACTTTCTGCAGAGCTGCTGCGCTCTCCCGCTAAAGGGGCTCTCTGCCGCCGCCACTTCGGCAACTACTTTGATCTGCTGCCGCCACTTCGGCAGTCAATTTGATCTAACGCCGTCGTCTATAGTTTAGTTCTATGCTAACCTGCGCATTGGTTGCATATCGATCTCGCATAAAGTTTATCTGGCAATAGCAAGCAATCGGCTTCCGCTAAGGCACCAAGATTAAATACGAATTATAAAGTTAACCCAAAATCTCTTTTCATTTTTGAAACAAATAGGTGCCAAAAAAGCTTGGCATCTCAAACAGCAAGTGTCAAGTTTATGTTAATACATCAATAAGTCATCTATTTTGTTCCTTTTGCAATTACGGTTCGTTTCGATGTATAAAAAGCCGTTTACTTTTCATTTCGTCAACGAATTTGTTTTCCTTTTTATAATGAATAAATCTGGCCTGAATACTTTTCTTTTAATTCCCATAAAAAACACCGCTCCCCACCCTTATAATTTCAATAGTGTTAAAAAACTTATTTTTATTGATTTATTTAAACAAAATTATTGTTTTTCATTTTTATTGTTGTTAAAGATGTAAACTTCGACAACGCACATATTTTATTTTCGTATATAATCCAGCATAAATACAAAAGTATGTACATACATATGTATGTATGAGTCGCAATGAAGCGATATTCTATTGTCTCCTATTTGATTTGTACGTCTGCATGGACACCTACTTATTTTCGTATATTTTTAGTCACAATTAAATACCACAACGAATGGGTTATGGGCCCACGGCTCAGTCTGAAGTTGTGACTCGGTCGAATGCATTCTATCGATAAGGCCGAAAACGAGAATTATAGTGCGTGGGTAATCCAAATGAAAAGCCGTCTAATACAGTCTAAGTTGTGGTCAGTAGTGTGTATTCGAGAACTGAAAAATTAAAACGGCGATGCTGTGTATTAAACCATCGCAAACATCTTTGTTGCACCTTGATATCTCCGTCGGTTTTTTCGGACATCGTTCAACAGCGACTACCCTACCTGAGTTTTCTAACTTAATCCCCTGTGTTTTTCAAAGTGGTTTCAGACGGATGTAGTTTTTACGGACTTTAGTAAGGCATTTGATTCTGTACTTATTCACAAGCTCTCTTGGTGGGTTCCCAACAAATCTTCTAGAATGGATTTTTTCCTATATTTCTCACCGTACTCAGCCTGTTTTGTTTTCAAATGTGTTGTTCAGGAGTGCCACACGGAAGTCATCTGGGCCCGCTTCTGTTTATTTTATTTTATTTATTTTCGTCAAGTTATAACATAATATTATAATATTTGGACGTTGACATGCAATGACTGCATCTTACAAGAGGCGATGCAATTACTGCACCGTCAAGTGGCCCGTGTGACACCAGCAGAAGGCTGTTACGTGCGGGTCCCAGGCAAAACGCAGCCCCCCTCCCGACCAATCGAGCGAGGGGCTTTGCCGCTTGACGCGCGACACGTTAGCCGAACCGAACGCGAACATGCAGGAAAGATAGCTGTTAGACTAATATACGAGGAAAATTAGCACTAAACTTACTAGGAGAACTAAGAATGCATTCAAAATACAAATACGAATGCCACTACAATTACTAATTACTAGAAAGGTGAGTGAGGATTAGTAATTTAATAAGAGGACGAGAATTAGTGGTGAAAATAATGTGGTAGAGGGAATTATAATCCGAGCATAAAACCCTAAACGGTTCATGCAAGGAATAATTCGATCTACAAAGTGGAAGGAACAACGGTGTAAAATTTTTAGTGAGTCTAATGGGAATCGTGAAATTTATGCGGCCCAACAGATAAGGCTGTCTATGTCATCCCTGATCAAGTTGTGCACAAAATCACACCAAGCATTTTTCTACGGTTAGCTAAGGATGGGGTTTACTAATAGCAGTCTACTAGAGTAAGATGGGAGTCTTGTTGGACAGAATTTCGCTGCCGTTGCAAGGGAAGTTCTTGTACCGAAAAGTAAAAACGCAACCATTCATATGTAAAGTTTATTTGTGACAAATAAATGCTCTGCTCGCAGGCAGATAGAGACCGAACGAAAAGGAGAACAAAAAGGGAGATAAGAGAACGTCGCTTCGTTACGTCTCTCACTCATACACACGTCTACATACTCATATGTCTGTCAATACATGCGTGCATTGCTAGAGATGGTCATTCTTCAACACCCTTCCTCAATGCGTGCAAGTTAACGTACCCAATTCCATTGAGCTCTTATACGAGTTGTAAACAATCTTTGGCTTTCCAAAACGAAAACAATTTCAATCTTGGGCCTCCGCCTAATTGATTTCTAAGATGTACAATCTCAAGCGCCCCCGCCGCAATCCCAATCTTTGACACTCGCCTAAATGGAAAACCAATGTTTGCCCACATCCGGCTTCTCATAAACAATCTCACTCCCGGCTTTCTGCAGATCCTGCACTTTAGGCATTTTACAGTTCTCTCTTTGGATGACGAAATCCAATACTCGGGATGGCGAAATCAATTGAAATGTTTATAGAAAAACGATTCCCGAAAGGGATCAACGATGCAAAGATCAGAAAGTTCAAGTCAGTCTTGATCCAGCAGCGACACCGCAAAGTCTAGCTAAAAATTAAGATCGCGCAATCCCTTTGCCCGGAATTCCTTTGTGACCCTCTACTTAAATCTATATCAGTGAAGTTCGAAGTAAAATAAAAACTTTTTAAAAACACAATCCGCTACCGCAGTTATTTAATTGGCGCCCAACGTGGGGCGACGTTGTATAAAAAGCACCGAATGATAAAAGTGTTGCGTCGTGCCGAAACCCGAAGGACAATTAATTAATGGAATAAATCCTTCAAATTTAAAAACGCGGAGTGACTGTGTGATATAAGATAAAAAAAAATGAGATAAAAAGGAAACAAACCGGAGCTTAGGGTGTGCAAAAATAAATACAATATACAATACAAATACAAATACAAATACAAATACAAATACAATGCAAAATACAAATAAATACAAAAGCTAATCAAGACAATTCATAAATACAAAAAAACCACAAAAAACCCAAAGTTTTTAAACAAAACCAACCAAACCAAAATACAAAGAAAGTGAAAGTATCAGCGAAACCAAAGAAGGAAGACCCCCAGAAGACCCAGTTAAACAAAGAAATTTAAGAAGGAAGACCCGTTCAAAGACCTGTCAGCCAAATCAAGAAGGAAGACCCGTTCGAAGATCTGCCAAACTAAGAAGGACGACCCCTACCGGATAGTTCGTGAGCAAAAGTTGTATTAATAAATATATAAGTTCAATTAGGTTATATTAGATTATAAAAACTAACATATAAGAAAAATTAAAGGTGGATCAACTAACTTTAGATTTTGAAAAACTAAAAATGATTAACTCACAAAGAAGGACCGATCTCACTGCA